GGAGTAGAGCCGCTGCTCCTCCACGTCGAGAGGAACCAGTTGAGGTGGCTCGGGCATCTGGAGAGACTATGTTTCTCGGTTGGCCTGGGAAAGCCTTGGGGTTCCTCCTGAAGGGCTAGAAGAAGTGGCTGGGGAGAGGGAAGTCTGGGTCTCCCTTCTTAGGCTGCTGCCCCCGCGACCTGTCCCCGGATAGGCGGACAAAAATGGATGGCTGGATGGATGGAAGACTTAAACTCAACCACCAGAAGGAGGGATCAGTCCATCATGGCAACCATGGCCTCAGAATGAAAGATGTCAACCGTCTAGGAGACGAATAGGTTCATCTTTAGTCAAAGGTTGCCACAGGAAGTTATTGCAACTTCCACTCAGGGACGGAGTTCTCATTACAAATGTCCTTCCTGATGCAACCATGACTAACGGACAGGTTCTCCATATCAAAGAACCACACTTAGCACACAACAACAATGATGGCCTAGATTGAGTTGAAACATCCTAAAAACAAATTTAGAAAGAGTTTAAATGTGACGCTGGTTATATTAAGATGAAAAAAAGGAAATCTGATTATTTTCCTAAATTTCCAAGAGTAGTTGAAGACACTTTGGAGCAAACAAGGTGTGAAGACAACAGTTCAGGATTGTGTTGACATGGAGATGAGCCTCTTACAAAAAATGAAACAGAACTGGCTGAAAACCAGATCAGCAGACTTAATTGCAGAAGGAGGGGGGGGGGTCTCCCTGGATTTACACCCTGTTTTCAGGCAATAATCTAGGTTAGTAGAAGCCGACAAGCCTCTACCTGCATGTCTCACTTCTCATGAATGCACGGATTTGTTTGACGCTGCAACAAATTTGTCTCATTTCTTCCGCTGCTGCTATCAGCTGATCATCATAAAGATGTAATCACCCCATGACAGAAAAAAAAAAAAAAATCACATGATGTGTGTTCTGAGACAGAGGGGTGTTATTTAACTCTCTAGAAGGTTCTCCAACCATCCACTCCTTCCCCCCGTTTCACCAGAGGCCAGGCTGCTATCCAAGTTCAACAGCCCCTAGGGGCAGCAGTGCAGAAACACGTATTGATAAATGTGTGGGCGGTCTGTTTGTTAACGCCACAGCCGGTTTCAGCTCAAATGTCTGACCGGCCTCAACGTCCCTTTGGAGAGAATTTGCTTTATCTTCCAAGCAGGTTATAAACTTTAACCTAGTCCCACTGCATTACAAACAGGGGACATGTGACAGGGACTGTACTAGTGCTTTGATCATTGAGGGGCGATTGTCTCAACAACATATGCTTTGCCTATCTGTCCACATTAGTCATTTTGGGTGATGAGGGGAGACAGTTGCCTTCCTGAGCCTTTAAATAACCCTGGGCTTGTGCCATCTGCTTCCCCCAAAGAGTTCATTGGCAGAGCCTGAGGGCGCTGAGTTGCTGCTGCTGCAGTGACATTTCCTCCCAGAGCTATTCTCAACATCTCCATGGTGGTCGCGCAGCAGCGAGGCCACTCAAGAGGCACCATCTATGTCTTTGTTGACTCAACAAACAGCAGCTTCCCTGCCGTGCACTCAGCTGGATCTACAATATGGAGGACTGTGACTATCCTGGTGGTATGGTGGAAAAACAGGGAGTTTTGGCCATATGGGGTACCATCCACAATTTTCCTATGGAATAGCTTGAGGCAATAGAGCACAAAGTTGGTGACATGATGTGACATTGTCATAAACTTTGATTAGAAGCTTAGTGAGCAACAATTTTAAGGTAAAGCGCCTACTAGAACTCCCCTGTAAAGAACTTAGGAAGTCCACTGCCATCAATTATCTTTAGAAAGTCAACTAATTAATATAGTTTAGTCTTACAAATTCAGCTCTTTAACTAGTGGCGCACTTTACAAATAAGGCCTTAAAGTCCAACTCATCACAAAACCCCCAACTTTTTTGAAGATCTACTGTATAAACCGGGGCTATAGAAGGATATTTAATCTCATTTTGTATTATTCATTCTTATGAGAGTTTTTTGTTGCAATATTTATCTCAAATCTATCTTAGTGCTTCTTAATTGGTTTTGGAGCTGGATTTTCCTATCGGTTCAAACGATACACGTCTAGGTCCCTCATAAGCCCTATTTACACTACGCCCTGAAAACTGATCCGTGCCCAGCTTGGATCAGTTAACCATACCGAGCTCGGTTCTTACGACCATTTACACACCACGCTAGCACGGTTCCTCACCCCCTAGTGATGATCTATGGTACTACTGCTCTCTAGAGGCGAACAAGCAAATCAACATGGCGGCACACGTAACATTCAGGAAATTTGCAGAGAGTCAGGCGAAGAAGGCAGAGTTGGCTTTTGGGAAGTGGATACGACAAACGATATTC